ATGCCCAGAAGTTTCATTCTTGCGATTCGAACTTGGGAAAAATCCCGTGAAACATCCCGTGGAAACAAGGCGTAGGAGTGACTTTCCACATCAGGGTGTCTAGTAAAACAGGTTCGTCAAGAATCAGTACTTTTACGGTACTTTTTTAGTACGTTTCTAAGAAATTTAGTACTTCCTCAATAGAAAAATTCAGTACTTTTTCAGTACAGTGGAAAAAAAACACATTGGATCTAGAGTCCAGACTCTTAAAAACATCGACACGAAAAAGTACTCTTGATTCAATCAGAATCTAGCTTAAATCAAGTACCAAGCCTCTTAATTTAAGCGGATTTCGTTTTGATTCAAGCAAAAATCCGATTGAATCAAGAGTATTTTTTCTTGTCAATGTTTTCAAGAGTCTGCACTCTAGATCCAATCTGTTTTTTTCCAGCGATACCTCCATTTGACGCAATTCGGAAGATTTCAAAATTTTTAATTACTCGCTCAAATTGCGACAAAAATGACGAAAAAATTAAAAAAAAAATCCGGGGCCTCTTGCGGAATTTCCGCACTTTTTCAGTACTTCCGGACCGCCCTTAAAAAATCAGTACTATTACCGGACTTGCCGGAATTTTAGACACCCCGCACATGGAAATCGACCGAACCTGATGATGACACGGGCTTAATTGCGACCGGAAATTCACATCCTCGGAATGAAGCTCCACGCTTCCGAGGTTCACCATATATTAACAAGTCGTGAAGCGAGCAAGGTTAGCGTTCACCGCGCAGCTTTGTTCGACGAGATTCGAGCAAGACCATCTATCAAATCAATCCCGGAAAGAGGACCCCGCGATTAGCCCCCAATAAAGGGGATCCCGCGCCCCTTAAAAGCGCGGGCTCAAAGGGTGCAACGGCGACACGCTATTGTAATTGGCAAATTGTACGCGAAGCAATAACGCTTGCACGACGATGCGGGGGGCTCAAAGGCTGGCGAGGTCGGCTGATCGGAGGCTAAATACTGATTTAGCTATTCGAGGTTGTGGATAAAAGAGGGGTTCTGAGATAAATCTGGCGACGGTGTGGATGGCTAACTCAATAATTTCCCCGCAACAATCCGGTTGATAGACTGGCGGTGTCGTGTGCTTATGCGTGGTTTCAGATGACGCGGGTCCTTCGAGACACCGATAGGTTTTTTGCGGGGTTGCAATATCCAACGTAGGATGGAGCACTGGAAAAAACTCATTGGATCTAGAGTCCAGACTCTTAAAAACATCGACAAGAAAAAATACTCTTGATTCAATCAGATTTAAGCTTAAATCAAGAACCAAGCCTCTTATTTTGAGCGGATTTCCTTTTGATTTAAGCTTAAATCTGATTTTCCCCAGAGAGTGCATGAGCAGCAATCAGGGAAAAATCCATGCCGAGACTCTATCTGGACCGCGTTTAGCTAAAAGGCACCAAGACACATCAGCTGTATTGCTAAATTTAATTGGAAAGTTTAATTTTTTGAATGAAAACGGATGTGCAGATTTCTGTTCAGATTTGAGTAAACTTATTTTACGGAGCAAAGGCCTCAAAATGATCAAAGGAATCCGTAAAAACTTTTTTCGTAAAAAATTAAATCACCCGGTTTTTGGCAATAGATGATGTGGCTTGATTCCTTCCTGCTAAACGCGGCCCATTTCACCAAAACACAAAATTCGCTCTTTCCAGTGCCGAAAAAGGTTGCAAAACTAAACTCTTTCAACACGACCTGACGTTTTTAACTAGTTTGGTCCGAGCACTGAGAGGCTAAACTGCGAGATACAACTATTCCGGCTCCTGAGTAACTAAAATTGCACAACCTCTGAATTGAAGGATAACTGAGTTTTCTTACTTGGCGCCTCTTACATGGCTCAAAAATGAACTTGATTTGGACTGTATTTTGCATCAAAAAACTATTTCTGGCTCATTTTAGACACGACATGAGTTTCATTGGTCTCTATGTGCAAAATGAAGCTTTTATGGATGAGCTAGGAATTGTGGTTCGTTATTGAAAAATGTGGTCCAACTGTTCCCACGGAAACGTTTGCTTGGATGCACTATGAAAAAAGGAATAAGAGTTTGTCGGAGAAGAAAATGTCAGAAAGCTGATTATTGATAATGATAGACAAAGTGATAGACAAAGAGGACAAAAGTAATATGGAGCGATCCTATTGGCTGAAACGGGTGAAAATGATGGACGAACTCTCTCGTCGGTTACCGTTAGTCCGTTCCTTGCTCACCTCCTCTGTCTACGGCAAACACTTGCTTTCACCAATAGGATTGCTCCATTTCCCCTTGACTTTATTGTCCAAAGCTTTGTCCATCAATTTCAATAATCAGCAGAATAATTTTGAAGCAACCGCGTTTTGAGAAACGGTGTGTAAATGGATCTGTTCAATTCACATACTAAAATGTTTCTTAATGCACTGGGATCAAACGCAGACATCTTAAACTGCGAGATACAATTATGTCAACTCCTGAGTGACTAAAATTGCATAACCTCTGAATTGAAGGATAACTGAGTTTTCTTACTTGCTTGGCACGATAATGTTGCGCTGAGACGCTAAACCTTGCACATGATAATACTTTTTTGACTCCTCGGTATAGCTTAAATTGCAAATGCAATAAATAAAAAGAAGGCTGAGTTCCTTTCTTAAAATTCCGCTTCTTGAGACCAGTGTGCGGTGTGAGAAATGGTCGTTACCAGAAACTTGGCCTAGGGCGTTATATGAGGTATAAATTTAATTAATGTTAAAATGTCAACAATTATTGAGAGTTGAAATGTTAAAAGAGTACATTTTTGTGATTTAGTCATTAATAAATCAAAGGAAGAATTAAAAGGGTCGATCAGCTCGAGACAGGCTCGATTTTATATAAAAAAATATTTGGATGGAATTTACTTCTGAAAGTTCATACAACGAGATGGAATTTGAAAATAAAGTTTTAAATTTCAGAAAATGATACTTCCTGTAGTACCATAAAACATCAAGGAGAAGTAAGAGTCTATTTTGATTTGTTTAGGACCGGATTTTTTTTTTTTTTTTTTTTTTTTTTTTTTTTTTTTTGGGGGGGGGGGGAAATATTTATACGGCCCAACATGGTGCCAATATGCTACTAACGCCGTAAATTGAGCTATTAAGTGACCGTATTGATGTTTCAACGAACTGATCAACTGAATTGCATTTTGCGAAAAGAAACCAAGAGCTTCCCATATCACTGAGATTGTGCGATTTTGAGCTCGCCCACTCGGGAGAGCTCTTTGCGATCGATTTCTTTTAGCATTGGTAGTGTCCGTGGCGACGAATGGATGGTTCTCGTTGCCGTCGGAGGAACGGCCAAAATCCCATTGATTTCAAGGTCTAAAAGTTGAATTTTCGCGGGTTACAGTTTTCCTCCGTCGAACATTTCCGTTCCCTCATTCAACTGAGGATTAATTGTTCCTCGTTTGCTACACTAGAG